AAGGGCAAACTTAGGAGACCATGGGAACAATTTGGGTGGCATTGTAGACAGTGTAGGATTTCCTACCTGAATCACAGTTGCTGGTCCAGAAGGAAGTCTCCAGATCCCACACAGTAACTACCAGGTCTGTGAATGTACTTTTTATACCCTAGACAGCTAAAATGGCATTAGACACCTATTTGTAGGCATTCAATCATCCCCTATGTGCCCCTTCCTCGCAAATCTGTACTGCAAAGGTCACAGTTCAGAAGCTAACAGAAGCTACTTAAGGCATACAGCAGTTGCATTCCTTTTCTCACAACAGTCAGAATTTTTTTTTAAAATATTAGACAAATTACACAAGTTCATGAGAAAGATTAGATACTTCTTTGTATGTTAGAAACGTTGCTAATTATACCTAGGGTAAGAAAACCTAACATTGAACTAGTAAATGAAGCACTCATGCTCCATTTATAGAAGTTTTAAATAACTGAAAAACATTATTTACTTTCTTTCTTGTCCTCCCCCCACTTTTGTTCTTGTTTGGTTTTTTGGTTTTGGGGGGTTTTTTTTGTTTGTTTGTTGTTTTTTTTTTAGTAAACAAGATAGAAAGAACTGGGAAGATTTTTGCTGTGAAAACTAACGCCCATGACTATTTGAAATTTCTTATCTAAAACTAGCAGTTACTCTGGGGGGTGGTGGGAGGCTTGATTTGTGCAGGGAATTTAATATTTTCTAACTGGATATACTTAACTAATACTTAACAGCAGGCACTCATGGGAAGGATATTTTTATCTAAACCCAACTAATTTGAACATTCTTACAAGGGCTTTTTTCTTAAACAGAAACTACACACTGTGCTTAACCTGAGAACCAAATTTCATTTTGCTGCAGAACACCTACATATACGAAATAGTGGAAAACAACTGGCTTCTAATTTAAAAAAAATATGCTCCTAAAATGGTTGTTGCTGATTAAAAAAGTAATTTAGTATATTTGATGTCTTTAATTAGGAAGGTAACATTTTATATTTTAATATAGCCACTTCTGCCTAAAAATTTCCTTCCTTCCATCTCATTAAATAATACAAATCAGCCTTCTCTTTCATAAGACAGAATGTTCAAACAGGAGCTGCAATCATCTGAAATCAATGGGTAAAAAAAGCTACTAACAGAAACAAAAATAATACACCAAACATTTTAAGGACTGGAATAAAATTATACAAAAGAAAAATTATCAAAGATCCAGTCAAAAAACAACAAAATGTATAAATTCCAACATGAACAAAAGTTCAAAGTTTAGAGATCCAAGGCTATTCTTGAAGTGTAGATGCACTGTATGGAACTAATTCTCAAACAGAAAGAAGGTGAAATTTGTACTCCTTAATTAACTGCATTCTTTCATCATTTAAGCAAAACGAACTACAATTGTTTCTTGACTTGCAGTTTGTTCATGTATTAATACATCAGCATTTCAGGAAAGCTGCTGTGGCTGTGAGGTTCTCATGTACTGCGATGCACTGTCTGGGCTGCACTTAAAAACTGAAGCCAGTCACGGAATTACTGAAGGACCAATGACCAAAACTAGGCTTCCTTCACAAAATCCACAATCAAAGGCATAAGGGAAGAAACAAGCAGATCTTTCAGATTATTACTTTCTTACCCAATGATCAGCACAGAAACTCCCCAGCAGTCACACACAAAAAGCAGCAGTAAAAGCACCTCCCCTCTTCCTGAGCTTGTAACTAAGTCTTCTCCTCCTGTAGTCTCAAAAATGACCCAATTCCAGAGTCCTTTCAAAACAATGCATTCCAATCCTCCACTGAGACTGAGCAAGAGACTATTAATAGAAGAGTAAGAGCATATGCTAAGACACTTTCCCATCAGAACCTAACAGCTGCACAGGAGAGCAAGTATCTCTCAAACTCCAACAGTTTCCTGTATCCAAGATTCTTCCCCTGCTTAAAACCCACACGGCCAGGAGGGCATGCACCATGTCAACTGGAGTTTAAACATAAAACTTGGGTCTCAGCTAACGTAACTAACCAATGTACAAAGCTGCTTTGCAATTTCCCAGGTAAAATGTCACGAGCTCTCTCTGAACTAGTGATACGAAGTATACCTCATAGAAAAGGAAGTAGTCATCTTCTAGAGGATTGTTAAAATAGCCAGTATAATCTTGATCTGATCAAGAAAGTTCAGCTCTACTCCTTCTTTAAGTGAACTCTATCTTCCACCGCACAGAATAATTTTCTAGCTAAAGTACCAAAAAGACAGTGAAGTAGAACTAGGAATGAGAATTTAAGAATTTGCACCTTTAAACTGTCTCATATTTAAGATACCTATCCGGCACATTGAAAAATTAATTCTTCTAGTCAGCAACTCTGAGGGCTTAGTATCAATTCAACTTGCACTTTCATTACAACTAACAAAATATTTTCTGTACTTCTAAGCCACTGTATGCTGTCCTTGCATGTATTTTAAGACCCAGAAGAAATACCTGAACAATTCAAAAGAAGGCGCATATAAATTTTCAGTACTCTGCATAACTCACTACTTAATAAATACTTGTTAAGAACGGAGATGAGAGAAAAATGCATCAATCTGCTGACAAAAAGATGTAGCACCATGCAACTGTGCCAGTTAGGACCGTCTATTGACACCACAGTTAAAACATTCATTAGTCAGACCTGACTGACTGATGGACTAATGGCTATTTTAACAATCCTCTAGAAGATGACAATGATGACTTTGATGTGATCCTATGACGTGGCTGTATGTTCTTATGACTTTCACATGTTGCTATGAGCCATCTGTGGCAAGTTATAGCACTATTATCTTCATCAAAAAACAACCTTTTTGGTTTCAACGTAATTGTTTATACGCCCTTGACTCTGGAAAGAATGTTCATTGTTGAGCCTTGAGACACACAAACGAGGGCTGAGCTGTCTTCAGATTAGCATTCTCCACTTCGTTAATGGGTATTTGGGTAGTGAAGAACTAAGGATGGTCAGGCTCATCTCATGCACTTTCAAAATACGCAGTTACAAGACACTTAGCTTACTCCCTGGTTTTCAAGGGTTTGGGTATGCAACAACCAACCAAAGATTGCCTCCTTATCACAACCAACTCTGCTTTCTTTGGAACTTACAATTTCCATATATGTTGCAGTTGCACTTACTGAATCAGCATTGATTAGCTTGCCAAGACCTACAGTTGCGATACATTGGACCTTATGCCTACTGTGTGATCAAAAGAAAGTGCATTATATTTAAATACAAATGTTCCCTTAGCAAAGAGGAAGTATTATGCTGCGCGCTACAGCTGTTTGGCACTATGTCCAAAAAAGTAACAATTACATACTATGCACAAAAGAAAGACATCACCACAAAGAGTAGTTAGGGTTGCATCTATAACCTGTAAAGCCTTACAATTTCCTGGTATAGCAGAGGTTAATATCCTTGCTATCAAAATTTTTGAAGGACACAATATGCAACCAAATGGACCTTAAGTCTTATCAATAGGTCTATTTCTCAGCAGCTGTCTTTTGTAGCAGTTTATTATTATATAGATTTACAGGTTAAACATTAGTGTGCCTAGGAATAGCTTCACTTAGCCCTACAGGGCTATCATCAAAAGGCCTCTGATGAGGACTTAAAAAAAAAAAGCAGCAAACATCCCTATCCACATTTCAAGACAGAAGAACTCAGAAGCACAAAGTATCTTGTTCAAGAAAACCCAGCAGGTAGAACTGAAAACAGACTCCAGGAATCACAAAGATAGGTTCCTGTCTTTGCTATCTTCAAGTACTACTCTATCCTGCTGAATGTATTACTGGAAAAAAGAATGGTCATGGTTTGAAGTTCTTGAATTTGCAGCTCCTAATGGTATAAAGGCAAAACATTTCAGATCCTATCAAGGCTTTGGACATGTACAGCTTTTTCTTATTATTTACACTATTGCAATTTGGTAAATGCAGCAGTTGAAATACAAGTTTCTCTACTAAGCTCCAGCTCAGTCTCCCTTTCTGGTCTCATTAAACCATTAACAAGTAAAAAGTAGCTCTGCTCTTTGGTGCCTTCTGTTGCCATACACACTCAAAGAGAACTGCTCAGCAAAAGGTTAAATGTTTACTTGATTACGTAGCTTCAAGAGTACATCTAAAAGATTGCCGTACCTGCCCATGTTCTTAGTCACAATTCCCTACTCACGTCCATGATCATCGCATCTCAGTACATCCTAGCACACGCTGAGATGAGCTACATTTATACCTTCTTATTTACGAACGCTCAAGTGTGCTTTATCTGTTTACCACTTTCCCCACGCCATAAGAAACAATGAAAATAGTCTCAGGCTTCTACATGACAGAAAGCCCCCCCCAGATACAAAAAGGCACAGGGATAGAAACCAGTCCCCTGTGACATCAGGATGCATAGCAGGAAAGATGTGCAGCAGGTTATTTCCCAACATTAAGCCACTCAGAGTGTGCCCTTCTTGGTATTTCACTCTACAGCAGCCAACCTGTAGATGATTTATCTCTTAAGTTTCTTGCACTTCCATCTCTTAGAAAAATTTTGCTTAGAATGTAATGCGATAATCCAGTTATGGTTACCAAAACTTTAAAAAAAAAATCATCAGCTGTGAAAAAACCAAAAAACACTCCCCCAAGATCAATCACACATATCAACATGATTTCAAGTTTATGTCAGCGATGACATCTTTTAGCATATCAATGATGGCGGTTAGAAAACTAAAAGAGGGTTCAGCACCGGCAACTATGAAAAAATCTGGCATACAAAACCTCCGACAAAACTGACTGCAGAACAATTCCGATTGACCCAAAGAGCTTGCTGCTGTAGTTTTGCAAATGCATGGTCAAGTGACAATGTCACAACAGGCACACTAATATTTTCCTGTTAGGGTCAGTATTAAGATTTTACTGATTTTTAAGCATTTCCTTTGAAGGAAAACGCATGCTAGAAAACATCACAGCTCTTTTATGAAAGATATTTCCATACTTACTGGTGCTACTATTTTGCCCGTCTGTCCAACTTGCATGTCATTAGGAACAAAGCCAGCATCAACAGCTGCACGGGAAGCTCCAACTAGTTGAAAGAAAATATTTCCAATGTTTTCTTTTAAAATATTAGCGAGCCAAATTGCTATCACCATAAAAGCACACGTATTTTACTGAAGAGTCCCACACTCTAAGGGCACGTATTTAGAAACTTCCCTCTTAAAAGCTCTTATAGTAATCCCTCTCTATACCACTGGCTGAAACTTCCAAACACTAAGTGCTAATGCACTTCATAAGCAACAGGAAATCCTTACTCCCAGCACCAAAGGGCCATATATTTAAAACCGAGGATTTCAGTCTGGCATATTCCCATTATTTTCTCTTGTTGCTTTGTCAAAAGAGGATTTTCCCATAAATGCCTTCCCATAATGTTCCTCCGAGTTTGAAGAGAACACATGTGCCATCTTACATTGCTGTGGAGCTCAAAAGTCAGGCAGAGTAAAGAAAAATATCAAAGAAAACTTGAAAATGCCACACGGACATCGAGTTCGTGACGCCACCAATTTAAAAATAAAGCCATTCATGTAAAACTATACATTTATTATTACATGTGAAATCTAAAACTAATGCAGATAAAATGTTAATGCAAACAGTTCCTCCTCCTCCCCCAACCTTTACTTAAAATATTTTGCTGCAACACCGCACATGGTCTGATTTCCCATGTTAATACAAAAACATAGCAAAAAGACAGAGCCTTTCAAACTACAAGAAATGTGAAAGGGATTCTGTAAAGGAGTAGTATATAAGGACGTATGAAGAAAATATCAGCTCTTCAAAGTGAGCTAAAACCATTTTTTAATTTATACAACTTCACTTTTTGTTTGTGAGCCTGTGTTCTGGAGATTTGAGAAGGACAGAGAATATTACAGTTTAGTATTTTGCTTCATACACAGGCATTTAAATACACAGTTGACCACAAGCACAAGATAAAACTTCATCTATGACTAAACTAACATGATTTTAAGAATTTATTTGATAGAGGCATGAAAATAAAGACTTAAGATTAACACTGTTTTTAAGGTGACCTTTTAAAATATAATAACCAGGGTTAAAAAAAAAACAGAGGAAAACAAGTTTACCTGCAGCATGCAATTGATCTGCAAGATCATACAACAACTTAAAATTTTCACCACTCTTCAAGCCTCTCCCTTAAAAGAACAAAAAAAGGTAAAGAAAGAAGAACATAATATGCCTTAAGATTTTTTTTTTATTGCCTACATAAACTTTCTGTATGTGTATTTGCATTTGCAAATGCACAAATATGGGCTTGCACAGGGTATTTTTTGATATATTACTAAATAGTATTTAATATTTGGAGATTAACCTTTTGTCTTCATGATTAATATTATTATTTCATATCTATAAACCAACTCCACTCTGTCTAGTTTACTTCCTGCACACAGTACCATCAAGATCATTCTCTGAAATCAGAGAAACTGGATTTTTGGTTTTGTTTTTTTTTGTTTTTTTTTTTTTACACTAATTTGTGCTCCCTCTGCTGGCTTTAGGTACGCAACTCTGTAACACGATAATTAAGGAATCATTTTTTAGCCGTAGGCATACAGTAAAAATCACAGTCCATCACTTTATACCTGAGGAGCAGAATACAAACAATGATTTTTAAAAATCATTAAAGCCATTACATAATAATGTTTGGACTGCCTGTAACGATTAGCAATAACTTCAAACATGACAGATTTGGATCTAAAAATCACTTCATATTGCTATAATTTTAAAGGGACTCACCAAATATGACAATGTGTTTAAAAAGCCTACTAGCATATGTTAAACTCACGCTTTGTCTCTTCATGAAACATACATGTTGGGTACATTCCCACCGGTCTCTATGCCGTATTTCAGAATTCCATCATAATTTTTTTTTAATTTTTCATATTATAGTGTTCTGCTACAGATAATATTTAATCAAGAGGTACCATTATTTAAATGCAATGTAACACAGTTTTCATATTATCTACTTACCACCCGATACAACCACTTTTGCACTAGTAAGCTCTGGTCGATCGCTTTTTGTCAACTTCTGCTCGATCCATTCAGATAGACCAACAGGTGGTGGAGGGGTTACTGCATTCATCAGATGAAGAAAAACATCCACAAGAAAAAGGCTAAAGCGTGTATTTTCAGTCTTTTAAATCTGAGCTTAAATGTAATGCAAAAGTTCATTCTATAACCAATTCTACCACAAGCTTTTAACTACTATCAGTAATTGCTCTGTGGTTCTGAGTTACAAGCCTCTTTCATTAGTTGTGTTTAAGTAACCTATAGTACAAGCTGCACTAAAATGAAGCTCTGTTGTATAAGTAATACATCGATACCAACCCAGTGTAAGTGTGGTTCTTATTAAGACAGGCAAACAAGCCATTTAAGTAGTGCAATGACAGTGCAATATATTAATCCCAAGTATCAAGTGGCATCTGTTTCCTAACATCCACAGACATTAGGAAATACAGGGTGGTTCAGGGGCAGGTACTAAGCCATCCAGAAAAATACAAGGACTGGGACACATACACACACACAGAGCACGTTATTACTGATTGCTTCTGCTGGATATACAGCACAGGCAGAAAAAGGCCTAAAGCAAAAAACCAGCAGAGGTTGCCCAGAGTGGTTGTGAACTCTCCATCTGTGGAGATAGTCAAAGCCTGACGGGACACAGTCCTGGGTGATCTGCTCCGGGGCAGGTGGACTAGATGATCTCAAAAGGTCCTTTCCAATCCCAACTATTTTGTGATTTTGTGACTGGATTTCTCTATTACAAAAGCTACACTGGCTTAATTAAAATAATAACTTAAACTGATTTAGTTAAAACTGACCTAAAACAACAACTGGGTGCTCTCGAATCAATTTAAACTGCTGCTAATTTAGCTAGACACTGTAACGACCTATCGCAATTGAAATACAATCAATTAAACCAAAACTGTGGAGAGCCAGCCACTCTTATTTTTGCTCAATCTTGCTTTGAAAACCAATCTGGCTATTCAAATAGCTGTAACTTTAAATAAGAAAAAGTTTCATGGTTATAGTTGCAGAGGTTTAAGCAGCGAGTGAAACAGACACAGATTTCAGCACAGATAATCTCCATTTCTGGACAAAGAAAAATTAGCAAGTGAGCAGATAATCTGTGCCTTCCCTTACTAGACATCACTAAAAAGTGCAAGTATCCATATTAAAAGCACGAAGCTAAGATTATGACAATCAGTTTGCTTTGACAAATACTTCTGCAAAACATCACTGTGCAGTGAGCAAAACTAACTCTATTCCACAAAACAGCAAAAAACCAGAACAAATACTCACACTTTTCTAAACTGGCACTACCACCACTTGTTGGTGCAGCCTCAAAAGAAGTTCCCCGTACAGTAAATACTTTAATTGCTTCATCACACTGCACAGTGCAAAGAATATTTCCTAAAAAAAAAAAAGTCACATTATATCTTTAAAGAAGATAATATCAGACATGCTATGCTTATTAAAACAACAAATAAAATCAGCATCAGAAACACATTAGCAGTTCTACTAGAATAGGCAACATTCAGAAGGTTACTTCCCAAGACTGCAGTTTTAGGAGCCTAAAACTAGAAACCTAAGCACTTAATAAATGTAGATTACAAATATTTTAATTTACTTTTTAGCTCCATATTTCTGAAGTACGACAACAAATCCTCTATTTTTACAGAGCATTCAAATGATCTCTTACAAATGAGCTTTTAAATTTGGGGGGGGGCGGGGGCGGCAACCCAACTTTGAAAGTGTCAAAGTGTCATTCTTAAACATAAAGAGTGTCTATAATTCAAAGTAGATCTTTTATCCTGTTGCATGAATTTATCAGAACAGAAGACAAGGAGGCCTGCCCCAAGTATCCGTGGGATTGTGTTTCTCAATAATATATATAATAAGGTTTTAACTTCACACTGGAGGCTGCAGGGAACACTAAAAGAGAAAAATGCTGCAACACCAGCTATTCATAAACAAAGTCATCTTGAAACTGTGAATTACTGGGAAGCAACACAAAACCACATTCTGGTAATGTAACTCGAAATGTAATACCTCGTTGGTACACGTGGTACAATCTTGTACAGTAAAATTAAGAAACACAAGGTAATGAGCTCATATCTAAATTAAAACAATGTCAGACAAGCATTAGAGAAACAAGACTGAAAAAAGAATTGCAAATTAAGTCATTTAAATATAAATAATTAGTTCAATGTCTTCATAATTAGGAAAAATAATGCTGTGATATCTTAAATCAGAACTAATGCTAGTCACATTAAATAAAGCTGAACAATTAACTCAATGTCTCATGTTTTACAAATCTGATCAGAAGTACATTAACAAAGAAATGCAGTATGTATGAAGGAGATTACTAAATTCTATTAAAGTGATAGACCTGGTTTCTTACTGATAGTACCAAAGTCGTTGGGATTACTTGCTTTCTCACACATGGAACATCACATCCATCCCCAAGTTTCGTTTTTATGAACCACGGCAATTCAGATTGTAAAGCGAAAATTCCTATCATACTCCAAGGTTCTAACAACAGGACTACATAGAAAAGTTATGAATATCGGGTATTTATTGCATAAATACCACATACCTTTTGTAATTACCCACCTGCATAGATAGTTCTCACAAAAGTGTCTGGTGACTGAATTTCAATAATGTCAGAAACAGGGGCAACATCAAGTTTGCCAGCCACTCTGGGAATAAGATTCTAGGAGTTAAACATGAAAAGTTAGCAAAGTAAATGTTAAGTAAAATGCACATGGTCAGTAAAAGAATGCCCGTTGTCCCGATTTTAACTTCACGTAATGCTGTAAGTAAAAAGGCATATACAACTGTAAAATTTTTGTAGGATTACTCATGTAGCTTTAGCAGCCAAATAAAATCCCATTATTGTAATAACTTTAGACATTTTATGAGACTTACTGTAAGTAAACCCTAAATTCAGTATCTTAAATCAGGAGGCTTATTTGCTTCAATACTTTAACACTGAATCTAGATGCAATTTACTTGGAAAACTGACAATTATGGATTGCTGAACTCTTAAGCATTTCAAGGAAAAAAAAAGCGCGTTTTTGGAAACTAGCTATCAGAGACAACAGGCAAAAAAAAACACCCTGCACTCTCCCCCCAAAAGCAAAAGAATTATTATTTTAAAAATTAATATTACAATGTATATTCCCCTGCTCTGAAACTGACTCTAGAAAATTACTTAGCACCTTTAGGAATGTGAAGGTGGATAAGAAGAGCAACATAAATCACGAAGAAATTAATGACAGCAAGAGCTCTGCTTCCTTCCTGTCCCCCTCCTAATCCGGTACAACACAAAAGGTCCAGTTCTGAAATCTTTACTCACATTAAGCACACAAAAATGGAAGCATAAGCTCTAAAGCAAAAGGTATTAACCTTTACTAAGACACTGCAGATGAAAAATAAAAAGAAAAAATAAAATAAAAAAAACCTAAAACTTCTCTTACTAAGGACTTCTCTTAGTAAAATTACAAGTATACGGATTGATACTGATTGGAAGTGAAAGTAGTCAGATGGAAGGCTGTCCCACATTGGAAAGCTTTCCGAAGTATTCTTTTTTCCTAATGTAGGCGCACCACGATGTTGACCAGATTGTTAGTACTGAGGCTCTCCACAGACTTAAACACACACTCCTTAAGAAACAAGTTTTGAAAAATCGTATTTTCATTAAAAAACATCTGGACTAGGATTTGGATCTGTGTTATTTAGATGTATTTACAGACATTTCAACGTACATGACTTACATCATAGATGCAATTTCTCCCCTCCAAAAAACATTTGCTTACAATAGGTCTGCACACTTTCGTTTCAACATGCAAATCGTATTTTTTCATCTCAATTTACTGTACTTTTCCTTACAATTTCCAAAATGCTTTCAGATCACTTAATCTATTTTGTGTTATTGTACATTTTGCCTGGCGTATGTAGAACCAGCTGGTTACCACTAAGTATTTCTTCTACACTGTTCCTTTGTCCAAGTCAGCCCATAATAAAACTCAGACATGAATCACTGTTTCTAACTAATGACCTCTTAAGCGAACTACTGTAACATTTTTTTAAAAACTCAAAACTGTCCATGGCTGACCTCTCTCAGGCCTCTGATTCATACTCTTACATACAACAGCGCCTGTCTCTTTCTACAAGGAATTTTTGACACACTTTGATCTACTTACCTTCCCAAAGGCAGATGCTCCAGCGCAAATGTGGGTGTAATTAAATTTCTTATGAGTTTCCAAAATCAAGGGAGTCAGCTCCTCTGAGGATAAAAATATATTGCTCAAAATTTACAACTATCTTATTTTCATTTGCAAATATAAATACCATTTATCTTGTCAATAGGCAAGAACAATTCTCACCTGCTAGAAATCCCTTGTATACATCGTGCTGAGCCACTAGAACTTTTGCAACACCCTGCACTTTGCTGAGTTCTTGTGCTACCTATGATTACAAATGAATTATTATTAGTTTGTAGTATAACAGGCACCACAAACAAATAACAAGAGAGTCCCTGTTGCAAAGAGCTGACAGTCTGTAGATTAGTTAAAACTGGAACACAAAAGTATGTGAATTTCAAAATCAGAACGAACCTGATGGAACAAAATGCAGGTCTCCTGACTCACAGCATAGTGCCTTATGGGATAATGAAAATTAATTTTGTGAGTAAGAAAACTGCAAAGCAAATCAAACACAGGAAAGCTTGCCTCCTGTATGCAAGATTACACAATGATCTTAAGATTTATTATAACAGCTGATACGAATCACACTTGAGGATTATCGATCAGTATTCTGATATCATCATAAAGCAACCAGTCCTACTTCCTTTTAAATTGGTCAGTATCTACCACACAAGCATACAATGCAGATACGAATGTACCCTGATGTTATGATCTTTGCCCCAATTTTATGAGCAATCCTTTGTTTGCAGCTGACTCTTTCCTACTGATGTGATGTATATTTTCAACTCTATATTTATGCATTTTTTCCTTTAAATTTGCAGAAGTGAAGTTTAAATGATAAAAGGGTTGCTGCAGATCAGAAAGAGGACCGACAGCAGTGTCTGGAGACCACATGCATCGCCCCAGAACTAGCGTAGTTTTACTGAGTTTGCTGAGTATCGGTTTACTCTCAAAAACTAACAAGAAAGAAACAAAAATTCCATAATAGCTGCTACAGAATATCTGTTTGAGTAACTGGCTCTTCGGTCCTATTAATATAGATTCTTACAAAGAAACTTAAAACCACCAAACTTCCGTTTTTTTTTGTAAAGTACTTTTTCCCAGCATGACATATATTGCCAAATAGACACCACATACTTAGTATTAAAAAATAAACGAAACATTTCCCATAATTTTTCTACTATGCAAGTGCCAAATAATAAGGAAACTCAAAGACAGACATATCAGGCAAAATTATTTTTTTGTCCTTGATCTAGATAAATATTTGCTTCCAGGTCTCCACCTTGAACACCTGGGTCTCAGTTTAGAATAGCCACTGAGGTTTCTCCATCTGCTTGTGAATTAGCTGCTGTAAGTATGCCTCCTGCATGTGGCGCTACATACTGCTTTCAGAATAACAATTCATAAACAATAGCCTAGTATGAAAAATATTAGGCATAATTATCTGCACTTTTACTGTTCACAAAGAGTACATCATGCTGGAATAAAAGCATCACTAATATACTAACTATATTGTCTCTAGACTTTGCACATAAAAATTAGACTAACAATACAACAGCTAACATACAAGAAACTTTTTTCAGATATGAGCTTTGTGATAAACTCAAGTAGTATGAATTTTAGTTTGCAAATACACTCTTGCTATGCTACTAGTACTTGACTTAGTAAAAGCAAGATGCTCAGAAGTCCTATTTGTCACCGGGCTGTTCCATTTCTGCTGGTTTCCATTTGAGCAAGTGCAAGCTTCTTTCCCAGTTTTCAGCACTGCAATGTTTGTCTTTCAAACTTTACGGGGAAATAATTGTTTTAAAAGTTAATTGTCCTTTAGCCCTATAAAAACGTGCTTGCTTAAGCTTTAAGAACTGATACTGATATTCTCCCTTGTGAAATGAAATCTATACCCATATTTTCACTTCAGAAGAGAAGCGGTTCAAGTGCAGGACATTTCTGGCAGATTAGCAATTCGTGGTCCAGTTCCTCTTCACTACAGATTATTTTTCAGGCTGACTAAGATACTATCAAGTATTGTTTCACTGCATTCATTATTTCACTCATACGAAAACAGCATTTCCTACCTTGTCACAGCTGGTACCCGCTACTAAACAAGAAACTTCACCTCCAAGACGTTTTGCCGCAGTGATAGTATTTAATGTAATGGGTGTAAGAGTTTCATTGTTGTGTTCTGCTATGACTAATGTACTCTGAAACCTCCGCAGCAGTGATGCCTTTAAAGAGAAAGAAAGGAGTTTGATACTTTGCATTTAAGTAAAAAACAGTTCGTAAGAGCATCCAGTGCTTTACAGAAGGTTATCAATTATACAAACTGTCAAACACTGCTGTCAAACAAAATAGGCTAAATCTAGATAATTTTTACTAAGTAGGCAGAATACATAAGGTTTTAAAAAAATAAAAGGTATAAACTTGCTTGACTTCAACATATCTATAACATGCTGTTTAAACTAAAACCTCCACAGGAAAATACTGAACAATATTAAGAAGAACATTTTAATACATTACATTCAAGCTCAGTCGATCAACTTAACTAAGTACCTTAAAGAGTGAAGATTAGACCAGCAAGACTAAGACACAAGGAAATCAAGAGTAGCAAATAAATACTTATTTGTTGCTCTTTTGGGGTGGAATTTTGACCAATTCACCATCCACAGACTTTCACTTCTAAAGCAAAAATGAAAGAAAAAAAAAAGGGGGGGGGGGCAGGGAAAAAACAT